TCCTATTGTTTATGGTATAATATTCCGGAGATATGTCCTCCCGACCCCAAGACTCACCACCCACGTGTGTCACACAACCCCACCCCTTCTGTCGGGCCGGACCCGCCATATGCCACAGGAATGACCAGTGGATGGTCATTGCACTGTTGGACCGCACGCTTGTTGTAGGCTGACCACGAGGGGTTGGACAAGGAAGGGGGCTGCCGGCTTCGGGTGACCCCTGGCACTAGTAGTAGGCCACGTGTGCACTTACACGCTCCCCTGCTGATAACCTCAAATTTATTTTGGAAAGAATTATCTGCTTGCATGAGCAATTCCCAGGAAATGTGGAACAGTGGGACAAGATTAATATCATCACAACCCCTGAGATATGGATTAATTGTAATGAAACTGAAAACTTGCATGTGGGGCAATACGTTGGTGCGTCAGTGATGTCGTTGCCCAAGCTCGAAATCGAGATACCAAACATGCAGAGGTTAGGAATAACATCAAAATTACAAGTGTAGTTCTGTGTCTACTATCGCTACAAATTCTCCGTCAAAAGTGGGAGAAAGCCCCACCTTACCACCTATCTAATTCTGACACCTTTCCACTTTGACGCACAAATCGAAAACACCACTTGCATTTACAGCACAAATGAATTTGACTTATACTATGCGTATCTTTTGAAGACGGGCATTTGAGGCCAAGGATATGCTGAAAATAAGGGCTATATCACCAGCCATCTCAGTCGAATTTTAAACACAATGAACCCCGTTTTCTGAAGCTACGTCACGTCAATGTCTCGTGGGAATTTCATGATCAGATTAGGATCTGGTGGGGATTAAAATGGGTGATGCGGATTAGTCTGATATCACACGGGTTGTCTCCGCTATCTGGATCATTTCAGGTTTGAACACGGTTAGACATTAATATTGTCATTAACAATATCTTCGTTGATGTCGTAGTCATGTATAGTGGTCATTTTACTCTTTAGCCGGAATGATGTCATTTTTGTGTTTGTGTTTCCTATTATTTCTTGTCTGTCATTGACATAATTACCAACTTTTATCCAACATGCCTACGTGCTGTGTGCTTCTTAATTCATGTATTCAACCATCGTTGATATTTCAATATATACAGAGTAAGTCAAAAAAGGAAACCCAAATGTCAGGACCATTTTTAAACGAAGTTCTGCATGTAGCACTTTCAAAATCCAGGATATGAAAGCCCAATTCATAATCTTTCTTTTAGTATTAGAATCATTCAAATCGCTCATGTAGTTTTAAATACAAACACCGTTTCAATCTTCTGTTTCACGGATCACAAAAGGGTCAGTGTTCTTTCAGCAAAACGAAAACAAATCAATTATGGATGTGTGCATTTACAGTAGAAATGAATGTTTGGAAATTACCGTAGATTAACCTATGTCGTTCAAATGCTTTTGAAAATCAATGATTTTTGGTGGAGGTGGAATGTAACACTTGCAGACATTATTTCATCTTCTTTGACCGTGGATGTTTTATTTAGTTCAAATCGGTGGAAATTGAAGGAAGAAACTTGATCAAAAAAGGCTCTGTCACTCAAATTGAGTTATGGCACGAAATGAACGATTCAATAAAACACATTAAATGAACCTGTAAAGGTTTGGTGATGTGGCTATTCACGTAGACAGACAAGCAAATTGAAAGTGTCTGTCTTTTTCCATTCTTGATTTTTCCCATAGTCATTCCGAACGCAATTCCCCGCTGAACTTCCATTGACACAGAGCCTTGATGGACGGCTGGCACGGCTATTGTCCCCCTCCCCCACCGGCCTACCCCCGCCGAGAATCAACATGAAAAGCCCCATCAATCCTTTGTTTTCGCGTCCGCTTCCCTCGCCCACTAATTGAAAAGCTCCCAATTTATATTCACTCGGCCAAACAATACAACCACTACTGACCACTAAAGAAAAAAAAAAACACCTGAAAATGGACTTTACATTAGGTTGTGCGGTTCTTGTTCCCTTCATGATGTTACGTCATAGGTGCTTCACATGGGTACACTTCGTGGTCCCCTGAGTAAATTTGCCTTTTCTTCCCGAGAATGGCCAGCAAGGTACTCAGAACTGCCTAAACACTATGGTCTACCATGGGTCTACCAAACCTGTCTGTATTTCCGGGATAGTACCCCCATACATGTGATCCCACATTGTTTCTTTTTTGCAAAACAAGTAACTTTCCAAATTGTCGAAAATAAATACAACTTGGAGTTGTTTATATGGTTCAATAAAATCGGTGAGACAAAATACTCCAACTTATTGGAATGAGGTTTAGTTTAGGCAGCTACAAACTACGACAATTGCAAAATTGAAAGCAATTTTCTTTTTCTCTTCAATAATTCAAACTTGACAGATGCTTGTTGCGACAATCTCTACAACCATTGCAGTATAACTAGTGCAGTACTGTTTTTGGTAATGCTCATACACAATTAAGGGACACCGTTTTGAAGGGGGTTACAAGTTTAAAATTTCAAACCTTGTGTATTCTCGTATGAAAAGTATGCAATGATGCTAACACATGATGATAAGTTCTTGCCGATTTTACCAGAACAACGGATCTACTGACCTAATGAGTTGTGGTGGTGTACTTTGGGAAACAAATAAACACTTCAAGCATCAAGTTTAATTACTCCACTGATTATTTGTAATCCTTTAAGACAGGAGAAGAAAAAAAGAAAAGAAAACAGATTGTAATTCTTTTGATAGTGATTCATCTTTTTCCAATTTGTAGAGAGTATACGGGGAGTCAGTCAGGACCGGGGGAACAGCGTAATCCCTGCGGCGGGTCGGGCGGGTCTGATCGGGCCAGTGTATCGGTGCGGCCCCGCTGCCAACACAACAGCCCCTCGGACCACGGAATTCATAATGTAATTAATGTAATTAAAGTACATCATTGTCGCAGTTCACTCCTTTAATCTGTTCCAAAAGCAAGAGAGGTAATCGAAGCAGATAGGGGGGAGAGGGAGAGGGTTGCTTGTGCTTTGGTTTAATATCCAAGCAATCACGTTAATAACCTTATTATTTTTGCGGGCGGCAATCTTTCTCAGTTTCCCCGGCCAAAATTGGAAAGAGCGTGAAAGCAGCCATTGACGCGTGTGCGATAGGCTGCCCATACGGGAACAAACTTCAGGGCCCCGTATGGTTCTACATCGACACATCATGCCTATGGTGTGGGCCAACATCATGCTGATCACCGTAACAGCTGGTCTAGAACTTGGTACAGGGCAACCTCTGGTATCTAGCGCATAAAACACCTTCACATTGAGAGAATTAAAAAAAAACCTTTTGAATACAATAATTGTCCAGTCTATTGTGTTCATCATTCTAGAACAGGTGTTTCACAATGCCATGACAAAATAACAAAAAAATGGCAATGTCCCTGGATTGTTAACGTTATGTTGCTGTACAGTTTCCTTTCAGTTGAAACAAAAAACAGGTGTTGTATTGATTATCATCGATCGAAAACCCACATCAAGTCGGGTTCCTAGACTATGTGGAATCTGTGGGCACCATGTTTATTGTTGTACTACCTCATGAGGTCCAGACCATGGCCAGTCACCATTGCAGGTCGCCCTACGGCCACGGCCGCGTTTTACGGCCCGCGCTACCGTTACGTCTTTAAGCTTAAGGGTACCGCCAAATCCTTGGGATCAAGTAAAAGCCGACCTCCCTAATCTCTGGGCAAACTTATAGGTGTCTAAATTCTGTGTACTATAGGAGGTGCGAAAATTCATTGGGGATCCGTTTAAATCCGCCAAGGATTATCTGCGTGTAGTTAACAGCAACCACTGCCACTGTGGAAACATGGCGTGTGTCGGACATGTAATCTTTGCAGATTATCAACAAAAGTTGGTTCGTTTCAAAGTCAAATTGTAAAAGATAGCCTTTTTTCAACCGTCACCGTTTCCCATTTTAAGGGTGACTTAGGACAGGCAATGCTTTTTAACGGGGAACTTTGCTTCTTTATACTGTAAATACGACCGAATCTGCTCCAGAGTTGTTTGGTTTGTATCTCAACTCAAATGCTTCAGCTCACGGGCCAAAAGGTTGAAATCTCCCAGTAGTAAAAAAAAAAAGCACGTCAGGTTTTTTTTGTCGCAGAGAGAAACACCCTCCAAAATGTAGTCTCTACTGCGCGGCCATGACTCGGCAGGCACGAATTGTGAAAGAAACAAATCACTCCCTCGGATGTCACTGGGGTGGAAACTAATTATTATTGTGACCTATTTGCGGTCATTTGTCAGACATTCTTTGAATGCAGAGAAAAGTGCAGCTTTTGAAAAGACGTTCAATTGTGAACGCTCGCCACCAAAAAGTTATTGGGTTCTTTTTTTTTTGGTATGGTAATCGCGGGTGTTACACGAGGCCATTCCCCCTGACAAAAGTTGGGTTCACTAAGAAAGCCCCGATTAATAATATACCACACTCGTGTGGAATTAGTTATATCTTAATGACAGGTTTTGTGATTCCAGCGTGTGCGTATCAAGTGGTCGTAAACAACAACAAAAACTGTCTGAATTTAACAAAAGTGATCAATACAAAATAACGCCTTTTGTGCAGTGGTTGTATGAACAGGAATATTTGGATCATGACACCTGTAAGTTGGTGCTGCACTGTCTCCACATACAGTGCATGGGTTTTTGTTTGTTCATGTATAGTGGATGAATTAAACTAGTGTATATGCTCAGCTACATCGTTTCCGGGTAGTGTAAAGGATGTGATACAAGTACTGGCAACAGGTAGAGAGAATGTCAGGGAATACCTCCGTTGTTAAAAGTTTTACCTATTTTTTTTCTCCCTAATTTCTGTACGTTGGGAGAAATTACGGCGTATGACACTCCATACATGCATTATTAGTGGGCGTAGCGATCGATGGAGGTTTACGGGGAGTCCAACACGCACGCAGGCTACTATAGGGCGTTACTAAGCAGACCTGTGATTGGCGGGCTGGGTGGGGGACCGTTGGCGCACACCGAACGACATGTACGAAATGCATGCAACACTGGACATTGCTGAAAGGGGATTCTCTAGTGATTAATGCCATTATACACACTCCACCATTGTCCCGTGTACAACTATAATATCCCTCGATCCACACCGCCGTAAACCGGCAGACGAAGACGGGCTAACACGGCGATCCGTAACAGTCGACATCAATTTCAGCTGATACAGGCTCGGATACCTCACTAGCACTGCAACATCTCGTAGATGATACAGCATATCCTGGACTGTTTCAGTAGTTGTTCGTTCTTTTTTTTCTTCTTCGAGCCCCTTCATTGTCAGCTACGCGTCTTGAATGACAATAGCGTTCCACAGAAAGCCCCCACAGAATAATACCTGCCGTGCTCAATGCCTTTTCTCTCTCTCGCTATGTCAATTTGCAGACTGTAACGTCACTCACGATTCCTCATTACCTCCCCTTTATTGTGTTCGCGGTTAGTCAGACAACTCGAGCTTCAGCGACGAACACTTCGGGGCGACGTGCGTAGCTAGACCCGCTCAATTCATTTCACGTTATCGCGGTGTTCTAACAGTTCCTCGAGAAGAGAGACGTTCTAATCCACCAAGAGTTTGTGTTTTTCCGGGACCCTTTTGGACTCTGAAGTGTTTCAAGTGAATTTATACGGCAGTTGGAGTCAGTCAGCTAAAGAGACGGGAAGTTGTCACCGAGCCCCCGGAACTGTTCTTCTCATAAGTTGTAAGTATGGGTTCCTGTGCACACGTTCATGTGTTTACAAGTCTCCTATGGGCACATGCAAACTTTTGTTGAGTGTGTGTACCTACAGTGCATGATACAACCACCCTCCCTGGTATACACATGTTCCATGATTATGACTGATTGGGGTTCGTAATTAAACAGGATTTGGGATTAAGTCTACGGTAGACTAGTGGGCAAAACATAAGAAATTTCAGTTTGGTACATTTCCGGTGGTACGGTACACCAATTCTTTCCTAAGTTGATGATACAGCAGACAACTCGTCTATAGATGAATCATTGTTGATGAGGAAACCAAATTGATATTTTAAACGAATGCATTTTGCACAGTAATGTCGGGTTCTCGTTTCTGTCTTCTAAACGTGCATTTGTAGAAAGTATTCGAAAGTGATGATTGTATATACACCCGTCATTTTCCCATTGAATGTAAACATTGTGGCCGAGAATGTAAACTAATTGAACCCTTTGCATTTCGGTAGAAATTACGTGCGGAAATTTGAATTAGTTTGTGTGGAAAGAATTCGCACGCTGCCACCAATTGTTGAGTCAGTCATCGACTATGATGGGTTTTTCCCTAAATAAATGTTTCTTCGGCGTTTTTTATGTCGTAGATTCATAGTAAATTTTTACATTCTTTTTTTTGTTTCATTTCATTGATAATGTCGATAAAGTTCTGTTCTTTCTAAAAAGGTATTAATTAATAGAGAGTACATGTAAGCCAAGAACAATTTAAGTTCCTCTGCATGTTTATCTTTTGGGAACATAATAACCCTTTCCGAATCTCATTAACTCATTAACTTTATTTCATGTTCAGACCCATTTTATAATAAATTACTTAAAAAATGAAAGCAACATAAAAGTTAGGCCCAACCTATGGAAGAATGCAGTATTCAGACGCCACTTCTTTGGCGGTGTACAAAGTCTATGGAGAGTCGAGTGCATTTTCAAGGTACATGTATTTCCTAACAAAATTGGAATTGTGTCTCGGTCCCAGATTCATGTCTTTTCAATATTTTTGCAATGAATGACCTTCTTTGAGATGAAAGTCGGTGAATTATAGATGATGAAAAAAAATTGGATCAAGATGCAAACATTCTTTCTCCAACGTAATACATGTACATCAGAGACGTGCACTCGTGTCGTAGTTGCATTAACATGATCCACAATTTTAAACAGAGAAAAACACACATTTCTGTCGGTATTTTTGTTTATATTAGGACCGTGTCGGCATAATCTATTATTAGAAACAAGGTTTGCTTCGCCTCCAGACAATACGAATCACACGTTTTATGGAAGGGAAAACAATCATTCTCGAGTTGTTAAAAGCCACACTGGTCAAACAAGTCAAATGGCAGATATCACTTAGCATGGCGCGTACAACAAACGTATACCTATGTCAACACGGGACCATTAAAGCACAGCCGACTCGGACAGAAAAAAAGTCACCAAGTTGGTTGACAAACCAATTAGCATTGATTTAAGCAGGGGCAGACTGTGTCTAATTAGCAAGTGTCATACAGCCTCGGGTACATGGTGTTACTAAATGGAGGACTTTTAGTGTTATGCCCGCCGGCTCTATAAGCGAGGTTGCCTGTCGAGAATTGCAGCAATTTTCGGTCGGGTGTTACTTCTTACAACCGTCCTTCATCATTATAGCAATAGTAGTCAGTGTTTTCTCCAAATTTGGTCTTTTTTTGCATGACCCCAATGGTTACATAGTTAAATTTGAATGAAATAATCTGATCTTCGGACAGTTCTGCATATCCAAAAATAATTGTTATATTGTGTGGGTCTATACATATCCATACGCAGATATTGTCAGTGTTTCTTATCTTATGTAAAAAAATACTCTTAAAAAATGTGTTTAGCAATCAATACTATCTTGCTGTCACTTTGTTTAGAAGCTAAAATTACTCGAACATGTCTATTCCTAAACCGCTATTAAACACTATCCATCAATACTCTAAACATGTTTAGCATCTAAACATGTTTACAGACTGATAGCAAGAAAGTGTTTAGAAGAGTGTTAATTGCTAACCATTTTTCTTTCGAATATTTTGGTTTGACGATGTCTGTAATACCTGAACAAATCACAATTTGCTTATTATTCACGTTTTTTTCTGAATATTTTTTCTCTTGAATACCTTGAATCTTTTCAATCCGCTTGAAAAATTTAAAATTTGTTGTGATGTCATCTGTCATGTAAGACCCAATTAGCGGCGAAAAGATAAAGTCTTTAGATAAAGTCCCAAACTGAGCAGTTAGTGACGGCAATTTGTATGGATCACACAAAGTACTACGTCATTAAAGTGTAGTAATTAAAGAGTAATAATTTGTCACCAAGCATTACATTGTCGATAGTTTAGCTGGCTGCGCGCGATGTCCCTGCACCTATGCATTGTGGGATAGGAGACATCATGGCGCCTGATCCCTCAAGCAGTGCACACACGACAAACATTTTCTGTGTAACCGCGATTGGCAAACGAATATCTTGTGTACACGTTGGCGCTGTGCAAATTCGTTTTGCGTAATACGAAAAGAAGTCCAAACATCACTGGTATTTAAGTCTCTGAAGGTATATCTCGATAATGGGCTTTTGGGGGTAGCGGTTTCATATTGCGATTATAGTAGTATTACAGATCATAACGATGTAGATACAGTGCTGAACAAGATATTATAAATTACTGGGATTAGGCCTACTAAATGGAAGGGTTTGTTTTTAAATAATAAAAAAAAACACTCCATCAGACCGTTCTCAATCAGACTTTTTTTCCAACGAACTTCTTTTTGGAGGACTTTTTTTGTCATGATCAAGATGGCCGCCCCCATCATCTCTGAGGCAGCCAATGAAATGAAACCCGCGGGGCCTTGAGCCAATCACACGGCACTAATCTATCTGAAGCGAAACGAAGCGTCTTCTCGTCACAAAAAAAGGCGGCATTGGAGATGATTAATCTTGTCTGTTTGCCCGGTCGATAGAAATTGATTTCAATCACAAAAGGCTGAAATGAGTCAAACACTTGGATTCATTAGCGGAGTTTTGTCTGTATGTCTCTTTAGAGCGTCCGATATTTTTTAAAGTTCCTTGACCGCACAAACCTGTGTTCCACGATGTAGTTTCGGGTTGAGTTTCCAGAAAAATTGAACAATTTGCATTTTATAAAAAAAAATGAAATAATTGCTGTAATCATTTTGCATCATTGATTTAATGTGAGTGTTTGTATGTACATAATTATATCTGCCTGAGCCATTTCAGTCACTGATCGTCATATCATTGAATTAGTTTTTGGTCATCGGGATTTGAATTCACTCCTAGAAATTTTCAGTCGATATTCAACTTTTTCTTACTTTTTAAACTTTCATACTGAAAACATCACCACCATATTGAACACAGTGCACGCCATCCTTCTGGGGCGTGCGTTTACTCGCATTGGTGCGCACGTACAACTACTGACAAAATAGTCCGAGGCACAAGCCATCCGTCACGCATGCAGAACCCGGAAAAGTTTCGTGTGGCCCCACGGTGCGTTCACGCAAGGCCCGCTGGCCTCAATTTTAATCTCCGGACTCGTGAGTGCATTGGGGGACTGTCGTGTTTTATTTGTGTGTGCCGACGCTGGAAGGCTATCGAACGAGCTGTCTTCTGCTCCCATATCAGTCCCAATTTCCGCCAATACTCAACACACTAATAGTACTATATACACTCATAATGATACGAAAATTAATGTGCATATAGTTTTTTCCTCTCGAATCCCACTTTGTTGTAACATTTCTTGTACATTTCCCCACTCAAAAACCGGTCTCTTTTTTTTTTTACACGAGTCAAAGTTTTGGGCGCCAAACACCGCTCACTCATTGCATCTGCTGCCTGGAAGTTTCCCCCATACGGTTGCCCATTTCAAGCAAGCCGATTCACCCTGACACCTCCTCGAATTCATCGTGAAATAGACCCCCGTGTTTATCCTTAATTACTGCGGATTGATAGTTAATTAATTAGGTTAGGCCAGACACTTCTACCGCGATCTGACAGCGTACCGTTTGGCCGAGTTGTATACGACACACTCTGTGGCCGGGTTTAGCGGGCGAGAACACCCGATGCGACTGGGCCGCGTAACTCGCCTAATTGGCGGCGGTGAAGCTTCCCCTCCGAATTTGGGCCCCCCGAATCTCGCGGCTTGGACTATGAAATCTCGAAGTATCAAATCAAGCCATCACGGTCGACAGACCACTCGGAAAATACAACCTCCTCATGTCTCCCGCCTCCCCACAGTGGGCCCCCGCTAACACATCGCTGGGATCGCGCGCGTGCGGGATGTTTCGTCTCAGACAATCAGGCTAAATTGAAACCGCGGTAAATTCAATTGCTGGAGGTGCCTTGTGCCGCTAGGCGAAGGAATTAACCAAAGTGGCCCGTCCTTTTAAGATCTGATGATATAAATTACATTTATTTGGGGCTCTGCACGGAAGAAAGTTGGAAATGAAGGGGGAAAAGCCACTTGATTTAACTAGACCGCGTTCTTCAAAAAGCAAAATCTCTCAAACAATGGTGAATGGCGTTGGCCTAAATCGTTCCTTAGTTATTCTCTTTGTCGCTTTCATTTACCAAAGTAGAAGCTTGACTACTGATTTCAATAGCATGTATTTTATTTATCTTTTTCACTTATTTCCATTCTGTGCTTAGCTTAGAAATAAGCAAAGCCCGATTCCAACGTCACTAAGACAAGGTTTAACAAAAAAGAAATGGCTTGTAGTTTCAGGAGTGACCAACATTTTTTTGGATTATAGTCCAGTGACGATTGCTTAAAATAATGTACATAATGTCACTTCAAGTCGCGCATGGCTAGCGCCGTTGCAACAGCCTACCCAATATATACATCCGAGTCTAACCCCAACATAAACGTACATCCAATCCTCTAACAGTATTTTCCCATCCGATAATGTGAGGAAGAAACAAATAAAGAGATTTTTTGCGCGGTTTAATTTCTACTTATGGCGCGCTACGAAATACAAACAAGGTGAAATCTGTGTAAACTAGCTTAAGTCGGTCTGATCCGGTAAGGACGCACTCGGCACGGGTCTACGGACGAGTAGTTGGTGGTATATATCGGTGTATAGAGAGGCCGGTGTACGAGTTTGCCTTGGAGGGACGTGTCCAAGTCATGAATGATATTATTACATAAACCGATTCATTTTTCCTGAATGCCGCGAGAACCCTTCACTGATATATTTAAGCCCCAACCAATAGCCACTTAAAGTATTCGTTTACATCGGCGCACGGGGGGATCTTCCCGTGACGGGAGATTCTATAAGAGGTATTAATCTGCCGATCTGATGATTTTGTCTGAACATATTGATACTGTGGCAGTTGGGATCATAGAATATAGCCACATTAGCATCAGTGAAATAATTTATGTATTTGAAAGCATGATGTGTAGTAGACGCATGTATGCTGTACGTTTTCAATTGAATAAGCACATGAGTCGTGGGTGTAAAATGAATCGTTGAACTTTACAACAATTTTGTTTTTCATGTTCACAGTTTCTGAGTAACGTTGCCGTTTGATTATTTAGAATCAATGAATGGGATGTTTGCGGTAACACCATGTAAATCAGTGGATGACCCAATGTGTCTCCTGATGACGAGCAGAGCATACTGCTCGAAACGTCGAGTTAAACCAATTGGTTCTTTCTCAAAACCACACACTAAGAGATATCTTTCATTTACATGGTGTTACCGCAAACCTCCCATTCATTAATCATGTCCACCATGCAAACCCTAAATTATTTACAATGTTCCACAAAGTTAGAGTCAACTTTATAAACCAGTGCTCAAAAAACAGTTCTTTTCTTCTCAATTAATCACCATGTCTCAGGTCACACACAGCACCGTCAACAACGAGCTCCCGCCCCGATAAGTGGATGCCCAACGCCCGCTACCTTCACTGCTTCCCTGTTGGCGGCGAGAGCTGCATGGGGAAATCTGACGTCATGGAGAAAGGATGGATTGCGTCATCAGTAAGCCCCGACAACATCAAGACTGAACCTGGGTGAGTAGAGCTTGTCTTGCGTTATCGTCTGCGGTATCTCTGATTGTAGTCGCCATTTTGGATTGAACTCTTCACATGTAGCATTATCACAATATTCATGCATGCACATGCCACATTATGTCTTTCTGTCACCAGTCACGTGATAATCCCGACTTGAATGGTATGCAAGTAGGAATGTGTCACGTGACTGGTGATCATGAGAAAAGAAAAGTAGAAGACAGTTTTCTACATGAGGCATGAATCGATATAAGTCACACAATAATACTGCATTAATTGATATTTGACCAACTTAAAACATGATGCAGGAAAAAAGTTGCTTCTAACTTCACTGATTGAAATAATCAGCGAATGTAAATTGTAAAGGTCGGAACAGTCTTGATGGTGACGCAAAAAATCTCTCTTGAAGGTGAAATGACATACGAACAGAAGCCAGCATTTACTGGCCTGCACCTAGACTGTTTCCCGGTCCATGCACCTAAAGATATTTTTGAAGTCCAAAGGACAATGGGGTCTGGGGAACCGGACTAGCCTGCGCCCTTTAAACAGCTACAGCAGCTTTAATTATGTCTTTATAGAAAGGCCCTAAGTTACCCAGAATGCCATCCCCACCGTCCTTCACAAGATTCTGTGAAGCCCGTCAGCCCTTCAGCGTCCTAGGCCCTAGCTTTTCCTACATAAAAATACGGACGAAACGTCAATGCGCAACTAACATGATGTATAAATTATGTAATACAAAAGAAATGTTGGATTTGTATGGATTATTTCAGGTACGAAATATGTCGTGAAACTTAGTCTGATTTAAAGGTAAACCAAACCTTCTTTCAGTGACTTACTTAAACACTATAACTCTTTCAAATCAGTTCCTTTTAGCCTCGGTATACACTCGAATTCGAAATCCTGCCAAAAAGTTATCAGACATCAGGAAGGAAAGAAAAAAAACAGAGGTACTCTGATTGAGGCACGCTATCTCGGCACGGTTTGATTAATTTGCGCCAACATCGGAGTGCAGTCGGCTGGCTGCATCATGCCCCTCACGCCTTGCCAAGCCAGGCCCCTGCCGATCTTTCGGCACGCAATGCCCAGTGGTAAGCAATAATTACAATTACACCCCGTAGCCAAAAAGAGAGAGGGGGTAGGAAAGTGGAAGCAATCCTTGTTAGTTGAGGAGATCTTTGGCGGTGATATTTTTTTTGGCTTGGGTTCTGGTGTACCAGACTTGACTGATTCGTACCGATGTGGCCCCCGAGGGGCTACGGCGTGCTTGCCCCTAGAGCAGACGCTTCATTAATGCTTGGACTCGGCTAAGACCCTAATGAACTCGTGAGATGCTACAGCGGAGAGAGAGAGAAGAAGAAAAAAAAGACGCCGCGGCCAGCCCTTCTAGTCAGCCGGGGCTGGCTGGGAAAATCCTTTTAAAAACTCGGCAAAACACAGACGGCAAACAGCCACCTTGCATTTTCAGGCGCTAAGGGAATATGAGAGTTCAGGGAAGGAGTTTTTTTGGCAGAGGAGTTGTTTATTGATATTAGGAACCGTAGTTCCCATGTGTTTCTCAGGAAAATTCTACCTGGACTTCGCGATAGAGGTCTGTTATTAGAAGTTAACGAATATTTTGGTATGAAGTCAAAAATTTGTCAGTTGCATCGCATGACACGAAATATCCCAACCACCAACTCCCGCGAGCAGACTCCGCATTCAAGTGCCGCCAGTCCGCATAAGGGGAGAAGAAACAGGGGAAAAAAAGAAACAACTTCACAGCTCAGTAAAGATATGATCAATAATTCCAATAACAATTCAGACCTTTTGTTGGCGAGTTTCCGTCATGTTGTATTGTCGGCACGGCATGCCAGCATAGGCCAACCGCCCCTTTTGTAACCCGGCAAGTTCGTGCCCAGCGGGCAAGTACACCTGGAGTAGATTCTGATGGGGCGAAGGGGGGAAACAAAAAATGAGACCGTTCCGTAAAAAAAGGTGACGCGCCGACAAAAACAGCGCTGCGGGGAGCGGGTGACTGGAACGCCACCTCCGCGCTAACTTTAACCTCTACCCGGCAAAAAAAAAAGTGGAGAAAGAAATGGACTTGAAACACCATGGTGGTTTTTGTTCGGGATGGGGGCATTGTTAGCGCGTTCCTAGGGTGAGATGGATGGAGCGATTGGTGCAAAGAGGCAGGGCAACCCGTTCGCCGCTGGTCGAAACTTTCTGAAGCTTGCAATTGGGGTCAGGGGGTCACTTACACCTTCTGACGCATACCTTCTCTTATTTTTGCAATAATTCTGCCTGTACGATTCCCTTTGTATTGTAGGACTATAAGGAAAGCCCTTGTATATCGCTATTTATCATTATCAAACAAAGCGTTGAATCTATATACGGCATTGGCTTGAAATCAGAAAGACAAAACAAAAACCCAACGTGGCTTTAGGGACCCAGTCATGAAATTTTTCGTCAATTTCACAGTTTGACGGGCCTAGTGTTGTCGATGTCATGCGCGCTCACAAAGGCATTTCACGCTTGCCCAGGCGCACAAAATGCCGTCGGCGAGTGGAACGAGTTGTTCACATCTATGGGCCAAAACTACGGTGAACTAAAGGAATTTGAATGCAATAAGGACTGGAAACGGGCAAAAAAATGGTTGGAACTTGGAATATCTCTGAACTATTACTGAGGGGTTAACAACATCATAGGACATGGCCGACATGCTTCCCACTGGTTGACGCTTTCAACACTGATCTTTGGTGTTAATAACTAATCTTTTAATTTGTGGAGGAAATTAATTACAAACTCGTAGGTTTTACACTAGAATAATTATATACTTTTTAATTTCATTATATCCACTTATATATAGACAAGTTCTTGATTTACATTGGCTACATGTGCTTGTTTTGTTTTATATTAACACATATAGACCTATATCAATCTAAGTAGGCCTATATAAAGCCGAGTAAAATCATTTTGAACAAACTTGGCGATTCGAAAACTCAATATATGCAAAATTATACCACAGCCATACAAAAACCTTGGATTTCCTGTGTTTGGTCACTAAAATAACAGGTTGCAACATTTTGAAATTTTTATTACCCTGGAAAGAAAAGAAAAAAAATGCTCTTTTTTTTCCCAGCGCAGATTTTGATCTTTAATTTCAATCCGCCGGAAGACATGGTATTTGGAGCGTACAGTGCCATGTGGCATATGGGACGGATGCTGTGGCTTGTACATAGGGACGCTAAGCCATAGGAAATGTCAAAGTCAGGCCGCGCTGCTATAGGAAAGTGTGCGGGTATTATTGAAAGGTTGGCACTCTCATTAACATTGTTATGATTACGGCCACCAACTTGGGTGTTTGATCTTTGCCGACTGTTTCCTTTTGTGATATTTTCATTCGAGGGGGATAAAAAAAGGAAGCAAAACAATTTACATGACCGTTTTCCGTTTGATTTATTTTTGGCCTCCTGATTGGGAAACCTTAAAAGCACGTGGGCAGTCATACAGTCATCGTCTAAAAAAAACCCGGGGTCTTATATAGCGCACGTATACAATAATTAGGTACTCAAGGTGCTGGAAATTATGTCTATTATTAAAGAAAGGTAAATAAAGTATATGAGAAATATGAGACCCATTATGTAGCACCTTATAAGGGTATACAAGGTGCTGCGGCGAATATTGCAGCCACTGCCCGAAACACCGGGGCAAACCCATTCTCTCGGCGATAAGTGTTACTGGGTTCTTTAACGTGTATTACACAACACACGGGACCTACGGCTTTACGTCCCATCCAAAGGACGAAGCAATAATGGTAAAGTGCCTTGCTCAAGAGCACAAGCACCATGTTCCCACGGTCAGGATTCGAACCCATGTACCACGGCACACGAATCGAACCCGTAACCATCGGACCACAGCACCCCAAAAAACAAAACAACGCTGAGTTTAACACAGTATAGAAATCCATGACTGTTTTACAGTGACAACATTGGTCTGTACTCTTTTGCCAAATTCATTTCGGTTGAATTTATTGACAAGATTTTAAGAGTTTATGACACTTTTCGGAAATCAAGAGATCCACAGTGCTAAAAAATCCTGAAGATGTCATTTTTACGACACTGGGATTGCGACTCGAATCAGAAACATCACAATCAAGTGGGGACGAACGAGTGTTAGGAACGACTTATGAATTCTAGCCGTGACAAAATGTCTGATGCATCACCAATGGGTGGCAAATTGTAGGTTCGGAGTTGTCCACAGATTACACACGGTAAATCCAATCCAACGAAAATACATAATATCTCACGAAAATGCTTAATAAATAACAGTTGGGATCGCGCCTCGAAGCTGAAACATCACAATTCTGAAGTGGGTGTTAGGAACGACTTATGAATTCTAGCTTACAAAATGTGTGCTACATACACCAAAGGGTGACAAAGTGGAGGTTCAGAGTTGTTCACAGATTACACACGGTAAATCCAATCTCACGAAAATGCCTAATAAGTAACAGTTAAAGTGAAACTTCGTTATAGTGCATAGTAATGTGCTATCTACCGCGCCGTACTGGTGTGAAAATGACGACTTAGTTCACATTACCCACTCCGCTTACTTCGGCAGGCGTAGCGGGCCGCGTCGCGATTGACGAACAGTAATTATATTTCCCAATTAATTGAGCATACATTTTAATACATTAGATCCACCAATTTACAGGAGGGGGATAAATTTGCAAAGTGAGAAGGCAGCTATAGATCTATAAACTAATAGCGACACGACTCAGGGTCATCTTTGTCAGTAGTGCCCACGGGGCTGAAGCGGCGAGAGCCCCGGCAGAGGTTTGTCTTATTGCTCGCCCCAGCCGCGGCCAAAGTACTTTTAAGCCAAATTTTCCTCTTGAGTGCGCGGGAAAGTATCATAAAGATTTTTTTATCACTGTAATTTCCCCCCTTTTTTAACAGAGCACTCTTTCTGGCCAGCTTCAGCGGTACCGTAGTCATTTAGCCATTCATTTTGACGGAATTGTA